ACCCAAATAAGTGTACTTTTGGGGGACCTCGAGAAAACTGTTGGGATTCGTAGTGAGCAGAAAGGGAATTGAAATAGACTCTGATAAAGTAAGGGCCATTCAAGATTTGCCAGCCCCAAGAACACAGAAAGAGATTCGAGGATTTTTGGGAAGATTAAATTATATAGCCCGATTTATCTCACAGTTGACAGAGAAATGTGATCCCATATTTCGCCTTCTTCGGAAGAATGATTCAGGAGAATGGAGTGAGGATTGTCAAGAGGCTTTTGAGGCGGTAAAGAGGTATTTGTCGAATACTCTGATCCTAGCTCCAACCATCTCAGGAAAACCTTTAATTCTTTACTTATTAGTGTATGACAATTCCATGGGATGTGTGTTGGGGCAACATGATCAAACTGATAAGAGGGAGAGGGCTATCTATTATCTCAGTAAGAAGTTCACTGAGTGCGAGGCACGATACTCACCAATTGAAAAGTTGTGTTGTGCTTTAGTATAGGCTACCAGAAGACTTAGACCATATATGTTGTATCATACTACTTGGCTCATATCCAAACTAGACCCTTTGAAGTATCTAATGGGTGTACCTGCTTTGTCGGAAAGATTATCCCGTTGGCAAATCCTGTTGTCCGAATTTGATCTCCAGTATGTAAGCCAGAAGGCGGTTAAGGGGAGCGCCATAGCAGAATTCATTGCAAGTAGGGCTTCTGAAGAATATGAACCGTTGAACTTCGACTTTCCAGATGAGGATTTAATGGCTATCTCAGAGGAAGAAACAATTGCACCCACCAGTAAATACTGGAAGATGAACTTTGATGGCGCTTCAAATGCCTTAGGGCATGGGATTGGGGCAATTTTGGTTTCGCCATATGAAGATCATTATCCATTTACCAGTCAGCTTAATTTTGATTGTACAAACAATATGGCTGAGTATGAGGCCTGTGTTATGGGTCTTAAAGCTGCAGTTGAACTCAGAGTAAAAATTGTCAAAGTATACGGGGATTCAGCTTTGGTAATTTATCAACTCAGAGGAGAATGGGAAACAAAAGATCCTAAGCTTGTGGAATACCGTAAATTAGTCCTGGAACTCATTGAAGAATGTGACTTTCAATTACCTCCCCAGGGAAGAAAATAAAATAGCAGATGCCTTGGCTACTTTGGCAGCAGCCTTTAAGATGAACGAGCATTCAAATATGATGTCTATTAAGATGAAGGCTTATGAGTATCCAGTCCACTGCTTTAACATTGAAGAAGAAGATGATGGAAGACCTTGGTACTATGATATCTTGCAATATATAAGGTATCAAAGTTACCCCAAACAGGCAACTGAGAATGACAAGAGGACTATTAGGAGAATGACAGCAGGATATGTGCTTAATGGTGAGACATTATACAAGAAAAGTATGGATCAGGTCTTATTAAGGTGTGTGGACACTAAAGAAGCCAAAATGATCCTTGAAGAAGTACATGAAGGGATATGTGGCACCCATGCTAATGGGCATGTAATGGCCAGGCAGGTTATGAGATTTGGGTATTATTGGTCAACTATGGAAACTGATTGCATTAATTATGCCCGAAAGTGTCACAAGTGTCAAATTTATGGGGATAGAATGCATACCCCTCCTCATCCGTTGCATGTGATGACAGCTCCATGGCAGTTTTCTATGTGGGGCATGGATGTTATTGGACAAATTTTTCCAAAAGCGTCAAATGGCCATCGCTTCATTCTGGTAGCAATAGATTACTTCACTAAGTGGGTAGAAGCAGCTTCCTACGCAAATGTTACCCAGTCAACGGTATGTAGGTTCTTGAAGAAGGAAATCATATGCAGATATGGCTTACCGGAGAGAATTATCTCTGACAATGCATTGAACTTAAATAACAAGATGATGAAATCTGTATGTGAGCAATTCAAAATAAAGCACCATAATTCCACTATTTATCGCCCAAAGATGAATGGGGTCGTGGAGGCGGCTAATAAGAACATTAAGAGGCTTATAGAGAAGATGACTGAAACTTATAAAGATTGGCATGAGAAGTTGTCATTTGCTTTGTTAGCCTATCGGACTTCTGTACGAACGTCAACTGGGGCAACTCCGTTTTCTCTAATGTATGGGATGGAAGCTGTCCTCCTGTTGAAGTGGAAATTCCTTCACTCAGGGTTTTATTGGAGCTGAAGCTAAATGAGGCAGAATGGGTACAGGCCAGACATGACCAATTGAATCTGATTGAAGAAAAGAGACTGAAAGCTATTTGTCACGGTCAGATGTACCAGAAGCGGATGATACGAGCACACAACAAGAAAATTCACCATTGAGAAATTCACAAAGGAGATCTGGTTCTTAGAAGGATGTTTCCCATTCAAAAAGATTTCCGAGGGAAATGGATGCCCAAATGGGAGGGACCTTATGTTGTCAAGAAAGTCTTTTCTGGGGGAGCTCTAGTCTTAACTGAGATGGATGGGTCAGAATTACCCTATCCGGTGATTTCTGACGCAGTTAAGAGGTATTTTGCATGAAGATGAAAAAATGAAAAAGAAAAAAAGGAACAAAAAAAGAAAAAGAAAAAAGAAAAAAAAGGAGGGGAGAGAACTCAAAGAGCAAGGAGAGAGATCAGGAACGTAGGGGGAGGAACAGAACGAAAATTCACAACTAGAAGGGGGTGAAAACACTTGTAACAAGGGGTATTCGGGTTAGGGGGAGAACCGAAAATAACCAAGTGTAATAAGGTCCTTGTTGAGATCAATAAAAAGAAAATTTTCCAGATTTCTCTTTGCCTTTCGTTCGAAAGAGCCATAGCAGTTTTTAAGGAGGGTCGTTCGAGCTTACCTGTATCGTGTAGTTTCCTTCATTGGGATCTCATCGTCGAAGAGTCGAATATAGCATCAAGAGGTAATGCATCGGGAAAGGAAGATTTCCCGTGGTCTTGTTTAGCAGTCTGAAATGAACTTTGGTTCCTCATCGGAGCCAACCAAAGGCTGAGGGTCACGTCCCTATGTCGGTTAATGTCTTGCATGTAGATTATGGGGGTTAAGTTTTATATAGGTTTTTAGGGTTAATTGATTTAAGGTCACTACACCTCTGTCGTTGATATTCATTTGGGTCCTAGAATTGAGTTTTTTCTATTTTAATATGATATTTATATTTTATGCATGTTTCATTTTAGTTTTGAATGTGGATGTATTTAAATTCCGTTGTTTAGACATTTCACTTTTATTTTCTTTATGTTTCGGTTTAGTCCCTAGGTCGAAGTTTGCATGTTTCTAATTCTGTCTATTTATTTTATGTTCATTTAATTTTCGTCCTAAATGTTGATTTGTTTAATTTCAGTTGTTTAGATATTAGACTTTAAAGTTTTTGCATATTATATTTTAGTCATGTAGGTATGTTATTTAAGTTTCTGTGATGTCGCATATTTGGCATAGTTTTTTTTCTCGGTTTTCATTTTAGTTTTATAGGTGGTCACGGTTTTACTTTGATCTTAGTATATGTAATGCATTGATAAGTTTTTTTGTGATATTTGTTTAATAGTGATTTTAGCTTTAGATTTATTTACTCATTTATTTTAATCGCATGTTTAATTAATTTTTACATGACATCTTTTTTGCATAATTTGCATGATATCCTCACGAGCATAACTCGACTTTATTACATAATTTAACTAAGGGTAATATCCTTTTAATTTAAAATTGTTTAAGTGGGTTGTCTTAACTGATTAGATATCCGCTTTCGACGACTTTAAATTAAAAGTGTATCCCATCAGTGACACCTAAGAAATTGATTTATCACTTTAAAATTTGGGAATAGAAGAAAAAGAAATATTCGGCTATTTAAATTTATAGAGAAAAGATAGTTAGAACTTATCTAAGATCTGATCTCGATATTTGTAAATAATCGAATATTCTTTATCTTCCTAAAGGCTTTGTAATTTTAATTTAATCTATTTTGGCATTTTTGAATGTTGTAAAATTCATGTGTTGTTTTGTCGGTGATCATAAACCAAATTAAAATAGAATTTGTAAATTTCATTGCAAAGACATTAATTAATCGACGAGGTACCGATTTAGGGCGCTGTGGGGGTGCTAATCCTTCCCCACGCGTAACCGACTCCCGAACTCATTTTCTGGTAACGCAATATAAATCTGTTAAGTTATTCTGGCATACACCTCACACCCATACGGTACTCGTCAGTCAACCAAGAAAATGGATGACAAAATCACACACATTGAAAAAACTCAAGCTGAAATGCAAGAGAATTTAAAGAAAGCGCAAGAGGATATGCGCGAACAGATGATGAAGGCTCAAGACGACATGATGGCAAAGCTGATTAGTTTGCTACAAGGAAATAGTATAATCCGAGAAGAGACTCCAGTTATCGGTCATACTTCTGAGGAACCATTATATCCCCCTGGTTTCACACCACCACATATCCACGCACAACAAGCCACGATCATCCAACCGAAAAAAATACAAGTAAACCTACCTGGCTCTTCTACAAACCCGCAACCAATTGAAGATGTCCCTGATCTTGATGAGGAAGATAAAAAAGAACATGATAAGGAGATTAAGAAAGAATGGGAACAAATGAAGCATGAATTCCGAGCTATGAAAGAAGATGCTAGCTTATATGGAATTGACGCCAGAGAGCTAAGTCTAGTCCCTGATTTAGTGTTGCCACCAAAGTTCAAAGTTCCAGACTTCGAGAAATTTGATGGCACCAGTTGTCCTTCTGCACACATTACCATGTTTTGCAATAAAATGACAGGCTATGTGGGAAACGATCAGCTATTAATTCATTGTTTTCAAGAGAGCCTGGCAGGCTCAGCAGTCCGTTGGTACAATCAGTTAAGCCGAGCTCAGATTAAATCCTGGAAGGATTTGGCCAAGGCTTTTCTAGAGAAATATAAGCACATAAAAGATGTGAGGCCGAATCGAATTCTGTTACAGAGTATGGAAAAAAGATCCAATGAGAGCTTCAAGCAATATGCCCAAAGGTGGAGAGATATGGCTGTACAAGTTCATCCACCATTAGAGGAGAAAGAAACTAATATGTTCTTTGTAAATACTCTAAGGGCCCCATTCTTTGGACATCTTATTGGAAATTCGTCCAAGAATTTTGCTGATATAGTCAACGTAGGAGAAATGATTGAGATGGCGATCAAAAGTGGGAAGCTAGACGGGGGAGAATCTAGCCGAAAGCCTCCAGCAAGAATGAAGGATAATGAGGTCAGTAATGTGAAGAAATATGATTCTAATAACATTACAGTATCTCGACCACAAGCCACTGTATCGTCAACATTAAATCCTGTCCAGCAAGGGGCGAAAGAACCAAGACAGGAAAAGGAAAGGGGTCAATTTGACCCTATCCCCATGACCTATAAAGAACTATTGCAGATCCTGTATGACAAACATGTGGTGTCACCTTACCACACTTCTCCAATATAGCCTCCTTACCCAAAATGGTTTGACATCAATGCTCAATGTGAATATCATGCGGGGGCATCGGGGCATTCAATTGAAAACTATCTGGCCTTTAAAAAGTTGGTGCAGAGATTAAGACAAAGAAATGTCATCAATTTCGGTGACAGTGAGAAGCCCAATGTGGCTCAGAACCCACTGCCGAATTATGCAGGGACAGGGGTTAATGCTGTTATTGAAGAAAAAGGGAACGGAGTCATTACCAAAGTCAAAGAAGTGAAGTCACCCATGCATTGGGTATGGGGGAAAATGGTCAAAATAGGTTGGTTGACCTTTAATGATAATGGGAATAAGCATGCTTGCCCCTACCACCGTTGTGAGGATCATGTCATTCAAAACTGTGATGAGTTTAAGGCTTTGGTTCAAAGGCTGATGGATAGTAAAGACATGGAATTTTACCATGAAGCTATGGAGGAGGAAGAGGTAGAGATTTGTGCTTCCGAGGGTACATCCAAAGGAGTCTACAATTTCAACTGCCCTCTGGTTATCATGCCAAAAGCCCGTACAGTAGAGAATATAACCCCAAAAGTGATGATCATACCCCCCGTCGTCCTTTCCCTATAAGGATAACAAACAGGTCCCCTGGAGGTACGAGTGCCATCTAGGTGATGTTGGTATTTCAAAGGATGCCAAGGAAGAGGTGGATGAGGTAGGCCACTTCACCAGAAGTGGGAGGTGTTATTCTCCTAATCCGACCAGTGAACCCGAAAAAATAGCAACCCCGGATAAAGGAAAAAAGGTCGAGATACAGTTGAAAGATGTGAGCCAATAATTAATGAGCCTGTAACTGAGAACGAAGCTGTGGAGTTTTTAAAATTTTTAAAGCATAGCGAGTACAGCATCGTCGAGCAACTACACAAGTTGCCAGCTCGCATCTCAATCCTGGCTCTACTATTAAGCTCTGAGGCACATCGAAACGCCTTGTTGAAAATCTTGAATCAGACTTTCATATCGAAAGATATACCAGTGGAAAAAATAGACCGACTGGTTGCAAATATTCAAGCGGATAACTTCATCTCTTTCTCTGATGACGAGATCCCGTCCGGAATGATGGGCAATCCCAAAGCCCTGCACATTACCATCCAATGCAAGGGACATGTGTTATCGCGAGTACTAATTGACAACGGTTCTGCCCTGAATGTGATGCCATTAGTAACCTTGAAGAAACTATCGGTCGATAGTACACACATGAGAAATTGCCAAAGCATCGTTCGATCTTTTGACGGAACAAAGAAGGAAGTTTTGGGGAAGATCGATATTCCTTTAACCATAGGCCCATCAACCTACGAGGTCGAATTCCTTGTAATTGATATAATGCCCTCCTATAACTGCTTGTTAGGAAGGCCTTGGATCCACCAGGCAGGAGTCGTTCCATCTACTCTGCATCAGAAACTCAAATTTGTAATTGAGGGGAGATTGGTATGCCTTAATGCCGAGGAAGATATCATTGCTTCCATATCTACTACCGCTCCATATGTTGAAAATAGATGAAGATGCATTCGAGTGCTCTTTCAGAGCCCTGGAATTTATTAATGCCACATTTGTTGCTGAAAGAAAGAAAATTCCAAAGCCTAGGCTATCAAACTGTACCAAAATGGGACTGAAAATACCCTGGGAAGAGGATCCAAGGTTGGAAGAGGGCTAGGGAGTCGCTTACAGGGGAATATTAGTCCAGTTTTTCCCGGTTTTAAGCTAGATCGTTTTGGTCTAGGATATCGCCCGACTTTAAAGGAAAAATTGAAAAATGTTCAAAAGAGCCAGGAAAAGAGGAGAGCCAGGTTAGCCAGGGAGGATATTAAGTGGGAGCCTATGATTTTCCCGTCGCTGCGTGACACCTTCATATCAAGAGGCCACATGTTTCAGGGGATCGATCATCTAAAGAGCCTGTTATTGAAAATGCCCTGAGGGATTTGGGTATAAATGTGATATCAGAGGAAGGAATCGAAGACGGAAGGGCTATGGGCATCTACCCCGCACCACCAGGCTTTGTGCTAAATAATTGGACAGCAGAAGAATTACCTGTAGTTTACAAAACTATTTCAAAGTAACGCACAAAAACTTTCCCTATTGTCTAAACCCTAAGGCAATAGGTGATCTCTTGTAAGGGGTTAATCTATCTGCTTTTTATTTTAATAAATGATGCATTCCTGTTAATTCATGAAATGGAAAACACCATCCCTTTCATTCTTTTATTTATTTATTTCTTTCTTTTTATATATTATTATTTCATTCTATTTTGATGATAGATTCTCCCGTATTTGTATATATATATCCTCTCGTTCGTTATTCTTTCAAGACCTCCGATATCAATAGTATGAATGCTGATGAGTCTGACCTGAAGATAGATTTCGAGTTGCCCATATGTCAAGGGGAAATTGAAGGTTATGATAGTGATGAGGGAAGCCACTTACCTTCTAAACTACTAAAAATGGTAGAAAGAGAAGATAAACAAATTATGCCTCATGAAGAGCCCATTGAGATCTTGAATCTAGGATCAGAAGAGGATAAAAAGGAGATAAAAATTGGCACTATCATATCTGCTGAGGGACGACAAAGTCTGATTGAGTTGCTTCGAGAGTACAGTGATGTGTTTGCTTGGTCGTATGAGGACATGCCAGGTTTAGACACTGATTTAGTGTACATAAATTGCCAATAAAGCCCGAATATAAACCAGTACAACAAAAGCTCAAAAGGATGCGACCCGAAATGCTGCTTAAAATTAAAGAAGAAGTAAAGAAGCAATTCGATGCTGGTTTCCTAAAAGTAGCCAAGTATCGGAATGGGTAGCGAATGTTGTTCCAGTACCAAAAAAAGATGGAAAAGTTCGTATGTGTGTCGACTACAGAGATCTTAATCGGGCCAGTCTGAAAGATAATTTCCCTCTGCCACATATAGACACTCTGGTGGATAATACGGCTGGAAATTTTCTATTTTCATTTATGGATGGGTTTTCAGGTTACAATCAAATAAAGATGTATCCAGATGATATGGAAAAGACTACATTTATCACCATGTGGGGCACGTTCTGTTACAAGGTGATGCCGTTCGACTAAAGAATGCAGGGGCAACCTATCAAAGGGCCATGGTAACACTATTCCACGACATGATGCACAAGGAAATAGAGGTCTATGTCGATGATATGATATGATTGTTAAAGCTAAAACGGAGGAAGAACACATCGAGAATCTGAGGAAACTCTTCCAAAGATTAAGGAGCTGCCAGTTAAAACTCAATCCAAGCAAGTGTACCTTCGGGGTAACATCGGGAAAACTCTTGGGTTTTGTAGTAAGCAAAAAAGGGATTGAAGTAGATCCTGACAAGTTCAAAGCTATTCAAGATTTACCACCCCCTAAAACACAAAAAGAAGTTCGAGGATTTCTGGGAAGATTAAACTACATTGCCCGATTTATTTCGCAATTAACTGAGAAGTGCGATCCCATTTTTCGTCTTCTCCGTAAAAATAACACAGGGGTATGGAATGATGATTGCCAGGGAGCTTTTGAAGCAATAAAAGGATATTGTCGAATGCACCAGTCTTAATGCCACCAATATCAGGCAAACCATTAATCCTCTACTTGTCAATCTTTGAAAATTCAATGGGGTGCGTATTAGGGCAACATGATCAAACTGAAAAAAGAGAAAGAGCAATCTATTACCTCAGCAAAAAGTTCACTGATTGTGAGGCAAGGTACTCGCCAATAGAAAAGTTGTGTTGTGCTTTAGTTTGGACTACCCGAAGGCTCAGGCAGTATATGCTATATCACACTACTTGGATGATATCTAAACTTGATCCTCTGAAATATCTAATGGGTGTACCTGCTTTATCTGAAGATTGGCTCGTTGGAAAATCTTATTGTCTGAATTTGATATCCAATATGTAAGCCAAAAAGCAGTTAAAGGAAGTGTTGTGGCCGATTTTATTGCAAGTAGGGCTTCTGAAGAATATGAGCCACTGAACTTCGATTTTCCAGACGAAGATTTAATGGTTATTTCAACTGAGCAGTTAGTTTCTTCTACTAATGAACAGTGGAAGATGAATTTCGATGGTGCCTCGAATGCCTTGGGGCACGGTATTGGAGCAATTCTCATCTCACCTGGTGGAAAACACTATCCTTTCATTAGTCGATTGAATTTTGATTGCACAAATAACATGGCCGAATATGAAGCATGTATTCTGGGTCTTAGAGCGGCCATTGAGCGTAAAGTCGGGAGCCGGTTACGCGTGGGGAAGGATTAGCACCCCCACAGCGCCCTAAATCGGTACCTCGTCGATTAATTAATGTCTTTGCAATGAAATTTACAAATTCGATTTTAATTTGGTTTATGATCCCCGACAAAACAACACATGAATTTTACAACTATCAAAAGAACCAAAGTATATTAAATTAAAATTACCAGGCCTTTAGAAAGATAAAGAATATTCGATTATTTACAAATATCGAGACCAGATCTTAGATAAGTTCTAACTATCTTTTCTCGATAAATTTAAATAGCCGAACATTTCTTTATCTTCCGTTCCCAAATTTTAAAGTAATAAATCAATTTCTTAGGTGTCATTGATGGGATACACTGTTAATTTAAAAGCGTTAGAAGCGGACCTCTAATAGTTAAGACAGCCCACTTAAACGAATTTAAATTAAAAGGGTATTACCCTTAGTCAAATTATGTCGTATGGTCGAGATATGCAAATGAGGGTATCATACATATTATGAATAGTATTTATTAAGTAAATGATATGAATATGCCAAAACTTATATGCATCCTAATAGAAGGTAAATACCAATATTCACAACACTAATTTATTCGACATATTAAATAAAATGAAGCAAGACACAAAGTTATCCTATATTACTTATTATATGCATATATACGCAAGCAAATGTCCATATTAACATTAATAATTAAATTATACATAATGTTTACATGTTATCATGAAAATATAAAAAAAACGACATAATGACTTAAATGAATAAACACAAAACTCTAAGGCTAAAATCATAGATTATACAAAGATCAAATCATAGAACAATAATGATCATATTTCATGTACTAAAATCGAAATAAACCCACAAATGTATGCAGGACTAAACTGTAATCTTCAAAAGAAAGATATCAAATGTATAAACAAATAAAATATCAAAGCAAGTGAATTCCAGGACTAAAATGAAATATGCAACAACATGAGGTTCAAATGTCTAAAGAAACGACACCAAGTACATTACCACTCAGGATTAAAATTAAATATAGGTAGAACATGGAGACAAAATCAGAAGTACGAAAACGTCAATTTAAGGACGAAAATGAAGCCTATCTAAAACAGGGAATCACTTACATTAATTGCTTTAGTTCAACAAAAAAAAAGGGTAAAGATCGAAAGCCCTTTACAAATTTCTCTCGCTTTTATCCTTGAATACCCTTTTCTCTTGATAATTTTGCTTTCTCCCCGTGATCTCTGCTTGCTCTCCTCTTTGATACTTTTTTTCTCCTCGTGAACCTCCTTCCCCACTATTTTAATTGCCGACCCCTTTCCTCTATAGGATGTCCTCTCTTTAAGAATAGATGCTGAACAAGTCTTTGGATCTCCCGATTTTGACTACATGTTAAGAATTTCTTGCCTCATTATGACCAACCTTCTTATTAGTCAATCACTTGCGAATTAACACCTTTGGATGACATGAATATGCAAAATGCAATAAATTCAAAATAAAATAGACATAAAACCAAAATGGGTTAGTACACATAATATAAACAACAAAATGATGAGTATCGTAACAAATAAAACCTACCCTCACATGCTGACTACCCAATCATGCTTAGTAAATCCTACCCGACATGATATCTACCCCCATGCTTTTGTTATTTGCAAATAATCATAACCGCATGATATCTAATTCGCATGCTTGTTCGAGAAAATAATCCTAACCACATGATTTCTAGTTTGCATGCATTTATTCACAAAAATGAAAATAAATGACCCAAACGGCTTTTCTTGTGTACACTCCTCACGGGTCTCTTAAGGTTCGGGTTTGGCTTGACCTAAGTTCAGGCTCTATGTTCACTACATGCTGGGTTCGGTTCTAAAGTATTAGGTTCTCGAATTGTCCTTGTTGGTGCCCTCTTGGGCTGCCGAACCTAAATCCTGGCCTATCATAGGCTTTAGGGATCGAGTTCAACTTCGAGGGAACACACCTCCTTGTGTCCATGCGAGGTGAATACCATCACGAGGACCATAAGGCGTGAGCTCCAGGAGCGATCCACTATCCCATGCGGAGGTGAAAACCACACGAGGGAGTAGTCTCTCACTCCTACTTAAATAGGACAGAGCAAGGTTTTAGCTCATGTTATGCAAATGCAACTGTGCAGTGTGTGAGGAAAAGCGAAAATAAAACAACACATATTCACTTAAACACTCAAAAGATCAAACTTCTTTAAACACGTAATTAATCTGAAACCATTAACAAATAGATCAGTACAACTATTTATTGGTTAAT